ATTTATTAGCTATTTTATTCAAGCCTTAATAATAATAATAATAAAACTCTTTGTAAATATAATAAATAAATTTATAACACTATTAATTTAATTATTACTCTATAAGGATATAATTTTTTTTTTTAAATAAAACTTAAAAATCTAACTAGACCTTAGATAAGTAGTATTGTCAATAAAGGGTTCCATCAACGCCACAACTTCGCAGCACATTACATGTCACAAACCACGTCAGCGTCTGACGGTCGTTTTAAGGAAGACGGCAGAGAAAATCACGCATCTGATATATTGTAGCATAGACATGCAGATTGATCTTCAAAAAGGTCAATTAACACATCAACCGAGTTCGCCAGAACCAGCTCACCCAACACTACGGACAAGGACCTCGACCCATCATCTGCCAGCCTGAGAAGAAAACAGGCTCTGCTCCCTTATCCCTACAGAGGCCATTGGCCTGACAGTTTGGCGACCCCGGTTGTCATGTAAGCTGCAGCCACTCAAATGTCAGAACTGCGCCAAGTCCCAGGTTCATGAAGCAATATGTGACGAGTTATGCAGATTATGTAGAGACATTACCGCCGTGGCGTTTACCGATGCATGCCGACTTCGCCCGATTAAACTAGAGGTTCTATGATTACTTGAGTTCGAAGTGCACATCCACCCCCCAGAGGTCTTATGATTGGCTTTATTACCCACTAGCTCTTTGTGATATTATCCATGGGAGCTAATTCTCTTTCCTCCTATCTATCTTTCTTCCTTCCTCCCCCTCAGTGCCTAGATCGATCGGCTGAACCCCAATATTGCTTCTTTATCCTACCGCTCGTGCTTCACCCTTACCTAGCCAAATGTGTTATTTCGAGAAGACACGTTGATCATGTGGCTATTGGAGATGGGGATATTTCCGGCGGCAGTGTAACAAGGAGTACCGGATGGGAGAGACATGCGGGTTCAAGCTTGTCTATGATACCAAGACAGAGCCCTATATATGTAAGCTCTGCCATGATACCGAGAAGAAGCAGCGGCGATATGACAAGATGTATCGCGATGTCTAGCGCTGGCAGCGCGAGAGCAACCGGACTACAGCCATTGAGCGGACGTGCAGCGAGATGTCAATTATCTTGGGCCAAATCTATCGGATGAGAGAGTAGCACGAACATAGGATACTTTCTCTGGGCGATGAAGAAACTTCCAAGTCTGTCACATCACTGGCGAGTGATTCAATTCTTTGCTCTATACCCCCACCAGGGCCACGTCAGGAATTGAACCCCCCAGCATCTGCTGAAGCTCACGATGACGTAATCCAACTCACTCCTACTCGCGATGCAGATGCCGAGCCCGGGAAAGAAGATAACGACGACCTCTGGAGCTCGCTCGAAACTCACAACATAGACAAGAAGACAAACAAAGATCCAAATCCGGAGCCAGAACTACTAGAGCCTCCATCTCCAGCTGAACTCGAAAACGAGTCCAAAAAGAAGCCTCATGATATGCCTTTGTGGCCTAACAATGAATTCAGGATTCTCAGCTCCAGAAACCAAGAAGGTAGTGCCAGGAGTCAATCGGAATCATCCATATTTGATCGAGGTGTTCGCAGCAGAGCAACCCTTCTAACGACGGTGGCTACCTCACTGCCTAGAACCAAAAATCAAGCTGACCCTGGCGGGCCGATAGCAACCACGCCGGGTATGGGAATGGAAGCGGAGCAACCAAACTTGAGCCCCGAGACCAAGGATGCCTGTACGGACAACTCCGATGCAGAGACCTCATACTCACTGGATACCATGGTCGATGATCCCACAACTTTCTACCTCCAGGCCTTCTCAGATCTGACATCGTGAGTTGAATTCAACTTTGTGGCTAGTAATGTCTTTAGCATGTGAGTAAAACAAGAATCTGACAAACTTATAAAATATTTATAACTAAAGAACTCGATATATTACCCTCTATAGGATAACTGCAGCCTATAAGGTTAAGCTTTAGGCTATAAATATAGATAATAAATAATAATATAATATTTCTTTTCTTAATATAAGCTTTTACCTATAAGCTTTTATAATAACTAATAAATCTTATTATAAGCCCTAACTAGGGTAATAAAAAAAGACTAAGAGATATATAAAAGAATATAACCTTAAGTTTATATCTCTGTATATATACTATAACATAACTCTATAAATAACATATTCGCTACACCAGCAATGCGAACTATTATTAGCCCGGACCGCACGAGCCAGAAGGCTCAAGACTACATGCACACTACTAAGAGGTCAATCGAGTCTTGACTGTCAGCTCCGACCTCTCCGTTCAACGGCAGAGGGGTCAGTTAGTATATTGGCCCTTTTAAAGACCGATTTGCATGTCCATATCATAACACATTAAAGACATAATTATCTCTGTCTACGTGCCTTACAATGTTAAGGCTTGAATAAAATAGCCAATAAATTTACTATAAGTAGTAGGATATACTATAGTAATAGAAGAGGAGGAGGAGGAGGTATTAAGAGAGTAGAAAGTTATAACTGCCAAATAGTAAGGCATAGGGTAGGATTTATAAGATAAAAGTAGGTCCATTAAATGGAGCGAATTTTTCCGAATTTAATAATATATATTATATAATCAGGAAGCTAATAAGTCTGTAACTAAAAGGGAGTTCCCTAAGTAAGAAGTCCTAGGGTTTATATAGACATTCTAAAGAGCAAGCATTAGAATTCCTAAAGAGGGGTAGACCTAATAGTAATAAAATAACTATTATAAAAACCGCTTAAAGTTAGAGAAAAATAAGATATATTTTTTACCCAATTTAGAAGGCACTAGCCTTTAATAGGCTTATAAAGCTTAA